AATACTGACTAAATCCAAAAGTAAGTAGAAAAATAAGAAAAAGAAAACAAGGCCAGGCACCCGGCATGGTGGCTCATACCTGTAATCCTAGCCCTTGGGAAGCCTTAGGCAGGTGGACTGCCTGAGGTCATGGGTTTGAGACCAGGCTGAGCCAGAGCAAGACCTCATCTCTAAAAATAGCTGGGTATTGTGGCAGGCACCTGTAGTCCCAGCTACTCTGGAGGCTGAGTCAAGAGAACCACTTGAGCCCAAGAGTTTCAGGTTACTATGAGCTCTGACACCACAACACTCTAGTGAGGGCAAGAAAGTGAGACCCTATCTCACAAAAAAGAGAGAGAGAAAGAAAACAAAGAACAGATAGAACAGTACAAATCAAATGGTGAGCTGATAGACTTAAACCTAATCATGGCAATAATTGCACAAAATATAAATGGCTTCAAAAAAGCAAAGAGACATACTATAACATATTGCATTAAAAAGGAAAACCCCACTATATGCTGCTTGCAAAATATGAACCTTAAGTATAAAGAAACAAATAGGTGAAAAGTAAAAAGATTTGAAAAGGTCTTAGATTAACACCAGTCAATAGAAAACACAGTGGTTATGTTACCAACAGACTAAGTAGATTTCAGAGCAAAGAACACTATTAGACAAAAGTATAAAGGTCATTTCATAATGACAAAGGGATTTATCATGAGACATAAAAATCTTAAATGTTTATGCACAGAATAACAGGATTTCAAAAAAACTTAAAAAAATCTATAAATTTCCATGGAGAAACAGAACCATCACAGTTATAATCAGAGATTTCATTATCTCACTCTTAATAACTCATAGAAATTAGTAAGATAAAAACTAATAAGGATTTATAAGAGTTGAGCAACATAATCATCCAACCTAATCTAACTGAGATGTACAGAACACTTGGCCCAACAACAGTAAAAAATGCACATTCTTTTCAGGTGCCCACTGAACCAAGATATTACAGGTCATAAAACAAATATCAATAACTCCAAGAGAATTAAAGTCATACAAAGTATTTTTCTGACCACACTACACTTAAATTAGAAAGCAACAAATAGAAGATGGCCAACTGGAGACATCAGTCATCAGATCATCTCAAACAGAAGTTTCAGCTGAGAATTCATAGCCAAGGAGAAATACTGAGGGAAAGGAGCCAGAATCTATCCTTACCAAAGATCTCAGGGGAAGAAGTGGTGGAGAAGAGCAAGAAGGAGCAAAATTGTGGTAGAGACTGGCCCCCCAAGGGATTTAGAGCCCAACAAAATGTTAAAGTGGAAGTGTTTACTTTTCCTCCCCTCATACCAGTGGCAGTTTGCAGGCTCCCAATCTGTCAGAGAGCCCTTTCTCCCAGACAAATCCAGGTACTGCTGCCAATGGGGAACGTTGGTTACCTTCTTTGGAACAAAACACAAGGCTACAGGCCCAAGAAGGGTTACTTCCCCTTACCACAGGCCTGAACTGAGATGGCAGTGAGTGTGCACACACTGAGTACCTCTATCCAGCTGGAGAAGTCACAGGCCCTCTGTCTTCCTGTCACTGTATCTCACATGAACATTCCCCACCACCCATTTGGACTGTGACAATCACAAAGGAACAGAGAGTCACAGGATAGTAGAAGTGTTCCTAGAGTTCTGATTTGCGGGGCAGGCTGCCCCATGAGGAGAAACAAGTGCTGCAAATGTTTTGTGGGACAGAGGCAGGGGAAAGGTACAATGTCATGCACCAGAGAGCCCTGGCTCATGATCCAAAGTTATCTGTGCCCCTCACAGTAGAAATGCTCCAGACCTTTTGTGGCAATCTCTTCCTCCTTCCCTCCCACACCACTGCCATAGAGACAGCTGAGGCTAATAGGCTACTTCTGCTCAGAACTGGCAAGTGTTAAAAAGGAACCATTAACACAGGACACCGAGAGTGCCTGTCCGGCCTCTGCCATGGCAACTATCACACCCATGCTGGCTACTTCCATGCAGGACCCGCAAGTGTTCCACAGGTGACTATTAAGCCAGGAAACCTAGGAGTGGCTTCCCCACCTCTGACCAGGTTCCACAGAACTCAGGCCAACTCCCTTCCCGCTAAAAAGAAGCAGTAAGCAGTTTCATATTCCCAAACGACAAAAGCAACATCCTCCACTGAGGGAGAGTGGGGCTACCAGTCCTCTCCCCAAGCTGCAAGCTGCCAGCCTGCTTCTGCATCCCTACCCTCCATGGAATCTCCATATTGTTTTCCTTAGAGTGTTACTAATTTACAGTTCCCCCAAAAGTGTACAAGAGAATGAAAAAAATCATTCAACTGTAGTCATCAGAATATATTCTCAGCATGAGGCATGGAGGAGCATCCATAAATAACTGCAAATGAATAAGGAAAGGATAGCCTAAACAAAAGGAAAATCATATGTGGAAGCCTAGAATGAAGGAGAGCTGTGGAATATTTGGAACAATGAAGTCTCATGTGGCTGGGGAGCAGACTATAAGAAATAAATGGAGGAAGACTATTTAGGAGGAGGTCAAAGGACAATTTGATCAGCACTATCATTGTCAACTTAATCATTCAGATATTTTGCTAAGTGCTTTATATACATTATTTATCTAATTATAATATATTATCTATTGTAAAATAGATATTATTGCCATTTTGCAAATGAGGAAACCAAGATTTAGTAAAATTTAACAAATTCGCTCAGAAAGTGTGGCTGTCAAGATCTATCTGACTTCAAAGTCTACACTTTTAACTATTATTACTATGGTGCTCCTAAGTTCGGTGAAAACAATGTATATGTTGTGCTCTGTTTTTCACCTTTTACCACCACTGGATAAAATGTATCTTCATCTCATTCCTGACCCTTTCCATGTTACTCTTCCTTTCTACCATCCCCCTTAACTTCTATATCCTAATACAGAAAATTCTGGTACTCTTACTTCATTGGTATTCTAAATTCCATGTTATTTCTCCATTCAGTTTGTTTCATGTATATCCTCAAATTCACTTCACTGTTTCTATTTCTTTTTCCTAGCTCTCTGTGGAGGGTCTTAAGATAAGAATTCACAATTACCATCTATTACCCAATTTCCATTAAACAGAGAAACTTTCATTCACAATTTTTCTTCAAAGAACTGTTCAAATTATCAAACTTCTACCATTGTCTTTGAGTTAATTCTACCTTTATGAGTTGTGAATTTTTATCTTATATGTTTGGTCACATGCCTGTGAAGTAGCCCAAAATCTTTCAAGTTTTATGAAAAGTCACTGATGCAAGAAGCTTAACAAATCTTAAGCTCCAAAAAACAGGGGGAAAAAAGTATACATCATGAACTAATTGCTCAAAACAAGTAATAAGAGGGCAGTACCTGTGGCTTAGTGGGTAGAGTAACAGCCCCATACACCTAGGGTAGCGAGTTCAAACCCAGCCCCAGTCAAACTGCAACAAAAAAATAGCCAGGTGTTGTGGAGAACACCTGTAGTCCAAGCTACTCGGGAGGCTGAGGCAAGAGAATCGCCTAAGCCCAGAAGCTGGAGGTTGCTGTGAGCTGTGTGATGCCATAGCACTCTACCAAGGGTAACGACTCTGTCTCTACAAAAAAAAGCCCACATCACAAAATCCCAAAACCAGAGATGTTGGCATGGATGAGGAGAAAAGGGAACACTTCCATACTGCTGATGGGAATGCAAACTAACACGTTCCTTTTGGAAAGATGTTTGGAGATTACTTAGGGATCTAAAAATAGACCTGCCATTCAATCCTATAATTCCTCTACTAGGGATATATCCAGAAGACCAAAAATCACTTTATAACAAAGATATTTGCACCAGAATGTTTATTGCAGCCCAATTCATAATTACTAAGTCATGGAAGAAGCCAAAGTGTCCATCAACCCATGAATGGATTAATAAATTGTGGCATATATACACATGGAATATTACACAGCCTTAAAAAAGATGGAGACTTTACCTCTTTCATGTTTACATGGATGGAGCTGGAACATATTCTTCTTAGCAAAGTATCTTAAGAATGGAAGAAAAAGTATCCTATGTACTCAGCCCCACTATGAAACCATAGCCCAAGAATATGGGGAAAGGGGAGAGGAAGGAGAGGAGGGGGGCAGAGGATGGATGAAGGGGGTAATTGGTGGGACCACACCTATGGTGCATTTTATAAGGGTACATGTTAAATTCACTAAGTGTAGAATATAAATGTCTTCTTTTT